TAAAGACCGGGGTGGCCTCCAACTCATGTTGCTGAGGATGACAGTAAATTTCTGATCAATTTGCTTCTACCTGCCAAGTACTGAGATTGAAGATGAGCATCACAGGCCATAGGGGAGAGCCTAATACTATTATTCTGCTATATATATACATATATATATATATAGTTACATATATGTATATATATGTGCATAAAGTTTTATTGGCACCCAGCTGCACCTGTTACTTTATATAAGCTGTGGCTGCTTTGGTGTCATAAGGAAAACTGAATAGTTATGACAGAAACATTACAGGCTGTAGAAATGACAGTGTTTACTGTTCGGCCTGATTTAAAAAAAAAAGTACCAGCTCCTGCAAGAAACATTTAAGAAAAAGACAGACAACCTGACAAGAAGTAGGCCAGGGGCATCATTTCCCAAAGACCATAGAGGACCAGTGAACATCCAGAGTCCCGAATTTAGTACTCACCAGCGGAATAGCAAGTGTGTGTTTAATGAGATACTATCCCTACATGCACTCATCAGAACAGCAAGAATCAAAGTGGTAGAGGGTGTGGAGTGACTGGAAAGCCCTATACTGCCAGGTCCAGGGGCACTGGGGCAGGTGTCAGGAAGACAGCCACACTCCAGGCTAGAGCTGAGCATTCCCGTGGCTCCTAATGGAGGACTTTGGCTCCCACTCGTCTAACCCAGAGATGTGTACGTGGGATCCCGAGGACACACGTGATCCCTGGATATGCACAGGAGCACTTGGGGCACCCCAGTGTACATAAGTACATGCTGGTCACTGTCACCACAACATAGACGACATGTCATCAGAAAGTAGGGCAAGGAAGCAGACAGGAAGTACCCACAGTGTCTCCATGCATGTGAAGCTGAGAAGTGGGTAGAGCAGAGCTTGGTTTAGATGTGAGGTTGATGGGGACCCTGTGCAGAGCAGTGACTGGGGTGTGCCAAGAGTGTTTACTTGGGTGCACTCGCTATGTAAGTGTGTGCACATGGAGGTGAGAGGGTGAACAGTGTGTATGCAAACACACACACACACACACACACACACACACACAAACACTGTGATTGTAAACTTA